AGGTCGGACAAAATGAAAGCTTGAAGCAAAAAAATAAGACCATTGCTTATAAGGTTTCAGCTCCGGAAAATCACTCCGCCACATCCAAGCTGACAATTTTGTGCCCCAGGGACAGGACTGCCCCTCTAAGACCAGCCAGCCGGGCTCCAGACGTGAGCAACGGGGTGCGAGCTGATAAGAAGTCATTCAGCGGCTCAAATGCTGCTCATTTTGGTGGCCTTAGAAGAATCCAGCTCGTAATGTCTTTTGTACATCCGGTTCTCGATGAATGCCCCACGAAGGAAGAAAGATACGAAGCACTAGACGTGAGGTCCAAAGTCGGATGACACATCGGGGCAGGCAGCCAGGGGCTGAGGCTGGACAGGGTGCAGAGAAGTGAGGCCCTTATTCTGGAAATGGAACGTGAGCTCTGCCCTGAGCGTCCCCTGTCATTCATCCGGCCAGCGCCCACCTATAGAGCAACCGCTGTGCGCCAGGAACTGTGCGGTGGGGGGGCGGGGGCAGAGAGGTCAACAGTGACAGGCAGGCTCCTGTGTTCATGGGGCTCTCCTTCCAGCAGATGACATGAATATCAATCAATGACTTCTCCTTTAGACACTGGCATGTTTATTGAGCCTACAGATTAAAAGACGACTGCTTCCAACATCTGGGCAGCAAGATGTGGGGGTCAACGAAAATGCCTGCCCAAGAAAACAGCAATTGATGACTGAGTCCCTGGCAGGCGGAACTGAGGAGGAGGACTGTCCCCTCTCCCCCAGCTCTGCGACCTGAAGAGCTAATTCTACACCTGCTGCTCTGGGAGAACCTGGGGGCTGGTGAGGACTTCCACAGAACACTCAGCAGGCGAGTCCATGGGGACATCATTCCTATTTTAATTACAACTGTGATAAGTGCAACGAAAGAGAATGGGGGCTTTCAAGAAGGGCTTCCTGGAGAAAACGGAGTTTGAGCCGAGCTTGGGAGGAAGCAGGAGGGTGAGCAGGATGGGGACAGGTCCGTGGGAAGGTGCGGGGGAGGAGGAAGCGGGCGGGTGACAGAAACTGCGATGAAGTGCGTCTGGCCGTGCCCGGACAGCACAGGGAAAAGTGCCAGGCAGGCAGCAGGGGAAGTCAGGACTGTGTGCTGTTAATGAGTCCAGCCCTGCTCCTAAGAGCAGGAAGGAGCTGGCACAGGGAGTGACAGGCAGAGACTGGCACCCGAAAATGACCGTTCTGGCAGGTGCTGTGTGAAAAGTCAGTCAGAGTTCTCTTCCTATCTCCTACGCCGATACTCACCCGTCCCCAAGGTCATCCCCCGCAAATCATCTCTGAAATGCCTAGCAGAGAGCAATGCAATGCAAATACTTGAAATCTTCTTAAATTCAAGCAAAAGAATTTCTATCATACTAAAAAGACAACCCAATCTGAATAGACAATGTGTCAAAGGAGATGTACAAACAGCCAATAAGCCCACGAAAAGCTGCTCAACATCATTAGCCTCTAGGAAAATGAAAATCAAAACCAATGAGGTACCACCTCACTCAGAATGGTCCTCATGAAAAAGCAACCCTTTCTCTGTTCTTGATGCTTAATACTGTCACCAAAATATGACACTTTGTATCATTTTCCCCCCAAGATACAATGTACCTTTTAAATCTGCATATTTACTTATGGAGCATTTTCTTCTATCCTGTTTAAAAGTATTGCATCTGTTCAATTTGTTCAGCCCTCTTCCATGAGAGCACCCACCAGCCATGGCTCGGACTTTTTCACCGGGTGGCGGCAGTATTCACGAGCCTGCGTGGAAGCTGCAAGGCCCCTCGCTGTCCGGGCTTGGGAATCGCACGTCATCGCCACCACATTCTGGTTGAAGGAAATCACTAAGCCGCGTGGATCCCGGGGTAAGAAAGAGGTTCCACCTCTCGGTGAAAGGAGCTGCGATGAGCGCGTGGCCATCTGTAAGCCAGCACCGTCACCCAGAGATGCTGAATGCGCTTTACCCAACACCACAGCCGGTGCACGGGGGTTGCTCTGTGTGACTTCCCGAAGCCAGTCCAATCCATCACTTCCAGATGATGCTTTCGGCTATGTCTAGATGGTCTTTCGCACGCCTGGATTCCCAGCATCTGCTCTCCTGCTGCGATGGCAGTACTGAGTAGTACAAAGACCACGTGGCCTGCGAGTCTAAAGTAGTTCCTGCCTGGCCCTTTACAGGAAAGGTCTGCCAGCCCCTCCTGTTCAACACGAGCTGGAATGTTCCACACGAGTGAGAAACCTAAGGTGGCTATTAAGTACACGTCAAGGCCAAACAGCTCTCAGAGTGATTTCCTGGCCTCTTGAGAAAACACCGATTTAGGCAGGTTTATAATAAACCTCGTAAGGAATGAGTATGTTGATTTCTGAGACACCATACACCGGTGGAGACAAACATTGCTTTCAATGCTGCTTTGGCAGGATCTGCACGCTGCGCGTCGTGGAAATCCGTTATTCTGACGGCTCTGCTGGGAACACTGAAGCTGGGACAACATCCTTCACTCAAAGGTCAGTGCATGGCGACCAGCCAGAGCCCCTTATGAATGTTAATAACTCTAATATTTTCAAATGTAAACAAAAGGTCTTTCTTTGTTTTATCATTCTTTCCCTGAGGGCTCATTTAAAAAGGACCACTTTAAAACAAAAAGCCTGAATTACACAATGCAGTTGCATGCTGGTGATGGTCAGTGTCCTTGTGGCCGCCCTACTGAGTGGCAGGTGACACCGAGGTCCTGGTGTCTGTTCCCACCAGTCCTCTCTGATCCAGGTACCAGGACTGCATGTCTCCCTAACGAAGAGAAAGTGCTGCCAATGACACTGTCCCCCGCTTCCTCAGTTAGAACTGCATCTTTCACTCAAGGCAGGTGCTCTTTGAGGCTTACTTTGACACAGTTTTTCCCACAGATTGCTTTTCTATATACATAAAAAATATATAAGTAGAATGAATTGGTATAGAGATAAACAACTTAGAGATACTCAAGAACTTAGAAAAAGAATGTAAAAAAAAACTCAACAAAAGCACAAGGAATGAATTAAGAGATAAAAGCAGAAATTTACTTTTTTTTTAAAGTAGGACTAACAACTAAATTCCAAACCAGTCTAATAAAATTAACCATCATCTTAAATACTCACTAAAAACTCAAAACCGCAAATACATAATATAAAAAACGGTAATAGGGAGATAATTTCTGAAGCCAAGAAATTAGAACTGTGAACACCTATTTTATCCAAATCTATAGCAATAGATTTGAAAGTGTGTATGAAATGAAAGCTTTCTAGGAAAACTCAATTTCCTAAAACTGATTCTATAAGAGATGGAAAGATGTAAAAAGATTAATTACCTTTGTAGAACTAGAGAAAGGTGTTAAAGAGCTACCACTACTAATATACCTCCTAGAAACAGCAGAAGCCAGAGGGAATTCCACTAAAATTTTAAGGAATAGGTAATTTCATTGATTCTTGAATTGTTCCAGAACCACAGAAAGAGGAAAAATTTCCTTTTATTGTAAATACTAGAATTTTTGCCCAGTGCACAAAATTCGTGCAGGGGAGGAGGGACCTCAGACCGGCCTGCACCTTCTTGCAATCCAAGACTGCTGGCTCCTAACTGCTTGCCTGTCTGTCTGTCTGATCGTCCCTAACCACTCTGCCTACCTGCCTCATCACCCTTAACCCCTTTGCCTGCCGGATCACCCCAAACCACTCTGCCTCCCTGCTGATCGCCCCTAACTGCTTGCTTGACTGCCTGATCGCCCCTAACCACCTCTTCCTCGGCCCCCACCACCACAGCTTTGCCTAGAAGAACATCTGGAATGATGTCTGGAAGGTCATTCAGCTGTCAGTTTTAATTAGCATAATACACTTTTATTATTATAGATGCAACTTAGTGGTAACACCAAAACCTAGCAAAGAATGTATTCTATTAAAAACAAACAAGAAACAAAACCACAGGCCAATCACACTTATGCATGACGATGGAAAAATCCCGAAAAGAAAATTAGCAAAGAACTTAAGTAGCACAATTAAAGAATAACATATCACGGTCAAGTGTGGTTACTGACTCAAGTGCTCGAATGGTTTAACACAACAAAATCTATTAAATACAACTCATTACATAAATAGATCCAAGGAAAAATCATTTGATTATTTCCATAGAAGCCAAAAGTAATTATTTATTCTTGCTTTCAAAAGATAAAGCTAAAATAGATGAGTACTTCCTTAACCAGAAAGAAGATTGAGGCAATATCAACACATCCTCTGGGGACAGATAGGGATTATGTGGGAAATCTCTGTATTTCCCCCCAATTTTGTTTGAAACCTTAAACTTTCCTTAAAATATAAAGTTTTAAAAATTGTTTTCAACTGTAAAATTAAAGATATGTGTAAGATGCAAAGTAAACTCAGCCTCGACCCACTCGGTCTCATGTTATGAGGTGCTTTGGACCATATACGTTTGTATTTTGACTGACAGCAATACGTCTAAATGCCTTGCTTACACTTGCATTTGTATTTTGTTGTTGTTGTTTTTTTATTATTATCTTTAAGCAATGCCACTTACAGTGTGCCGTGTAGAAAATAAGTTAGTGTAGAGAAGCTATCACAATCTTACCACACTTTCCCTTTTGGCTGGTAATATTATTTATAGGACCCTATACATCTATTTTCATTGATCAACTTTATTTTTTTAATTATGCTTTTATTGATTTTAGAGAGGAAGGGAGGGAGAGGGATAGAGAGAAAAACACCAACTGTCCGCCTCCTGCACGCCCCCCACTATGGATCGGGCCCGCAACCCGGGCATGTGCCCTGACCAGGAATTGAACTGGTGGCCTCTTGGTTCACCGGTGGACGTTCAACCACTGAGCCACACCAGCTGGGTTGACTGATCAACTTTAAATAGTACTTTGTGACTCCATACTATATAAGATGAGAAAACTTACAAATAGGCAAAACTCAACAGAATCTAAGCGAATTCTAAGACGCGCTTACCGTGTTCATAAAGCAGCTGCATGTTCGAATCCTTGCAGGCAACCAGGTTGTGGAGCAATGCAATCACACTTTGCATGGTGTTACCCAGAATGTTCTCCTGGTGGGCCTGCAAGAGATGACAGTTTTCATCATAACTACACAGAAATACAATCACATCATGATAGAGGCCAATGAGCAAATGACCTCCATCCCCTCATTCTCCGCACAAGGAGCCATGAGGACCTCTGCACTGCAGGGAAGCAGGTGCGCTCGGGCGCGCCCCCCAGCGAGTTAGTGAGCTGGGAGGCGGCCTGAACCGCACGGAGCACCAGCTGCCACAGCCCCTGCCCAAGCTGGACAAGCACACAGCCCTCTGTGCTGAGGCGGGGACAACGGAGTCAGAGGGACAGAAATCAAGCCCTGGGGACTGAGGAGGCCACGCCTGAAAGATGTTTTGAGATCATAAAAGAAAGCTTAGAGAAATTGTTCTGCACATATGAT